ATAATTTTACAACTATCTCAAACAGAAAACACACCAAAGTCTCACAGACTAACAATTATCTTTTAGGTGTGAGTGAATCAATAGTTTTCAGAAGCATTTATTAAAAGTTTACGGTCAAAGGGCCCAGTACGCTGCTGAAGTGAAGTGGGTCATTGACCCACGGAGAACGGATCCGGACCAGATCGGGTCTGTGGGCCAGCAGAACCGCGTCTTCTCGTCTCCTGCACACAGCAGTGGGGGGCAGGAGCCTCGGAGGCGTGTGGCTTTAAATGTTCTGTTCAGGCTCCGGAGCCAGATAGATAGGTTCCAGTCGGGCTGATCCAGGATCAGGTTCTGGTTTGATCTGGACTCCATATGTGGATCCATGGAATGCGTTTTCTGGCACGCTTAACGTGATGACTCAGGCTGATCTCGTTCTGAGGTAACTAACGCGCATATTCCCGCGACATCAACACCGTCATCATCCTCCTCCTCCTCACCATCATCTTCTTCATCAGCCCACATTAGTAGAGCTTCACTGTGAAGCTCAGTCCTGCTTAGGAGCACCAGGAGGCGGGCCGATCAGTTCTACGGGAGGACCGGAACCAGCGGGCTTTTACCGGGGCTCTGACCGGACTCACCGGAGGGGAAACAAAAACAGGGCGCGTTTTGTTCCTCCGGAGGGGGGTTGTTACACCTCCGCCTTCAAAGATCACAGACGATGGAATCTGCGGACCGATCAGCTGGAGCGCGTGAGTTGATCTGCTTTAAATCCACACAGCAAGACGCATTTTGTGTCTGCCTGTGTTTGTTGAACCAGCGCAGAGCCTCACAGCCATGTTCCGGAGAGCAGAGCTCCGTCTCCGTCAGAAATGGGCCGAGCTTAAACGCACACCTCTCCGTTTGGTTGTGAGCTGCGTGTTTCTACAGGAAACGGAGGGTTTTACATCCTCAGAGGGAGATCCTTCAGATCGCGGCTGCCTCTGCAACATCAGCACCATTCTGGGAGATGCTCCGACTGCAGGAGAGCTCCAACTTCAGTCTGCTGCTGATGGATCAGAGAGAGAACATCTGCTGGTTCTCAGAGCTCTAGTTACCCTCAGCTCAATGTGTTTAATTATTACTAGTACTAATTATATTAGACTAGAACTTTTCAGTGCGTTAAACCAGAAAGTTTAACATTTGCTACAAAGCTGTTTTCTCTTCTTTTCCTCTCTGGAGACAAACTAAAGGCTAAACGTAGGAGCATTCAGACACAGCCTGACCTTTTCTCCAACAATAGATGGACTGGTGTGTATTTGAAGCTCACATCTGTTTCTGAAGCCACACAAAAACAAACATCCTCTCTGCAGTGCTGAGGATCTAACTGATAAACAGGGGAAGTCATGTCATTTTGTTTATGTGAGACCAACATCTGTGCAGATGTTGGAGTAAAATCAACCTAATATTTTGTGTGTATGAGGTGAAAACCATCTTATGGGAGAGGCTCCATCCTCTCATGTTTATGAACATCAGAACAGCACGATAGCATGCTGCTTATGTGTTTTGAGTAAATATAAAATAAACAATGTGGAAGAAGTAAACAGAAAATATTACGTTAGACCCGGTTAATTATAAAACACCCACATTCTGTTTATTTGTGATTTAAAAAAATCAGTTTAAAGTGAGGTTTTGTAAAGGTTTAATTATGTTTCTCCCTCAGATCATTTTGTGTTAAAAACCCAAAAATGTTATGAATTTAAAGTTTACTTTAAATTGTGTTATTTTCCCTACAACTCGGGCTTTCTGTTAGGTTATCTCATTATCCCAGAACACGAGTTTAATCAACTATCATGAGGTAATTGTTAGTTTTGTATTTACAACCATTAGAGTCAGCCCAATTAATGATGGCCACATCAGCTAAGTGACATGGCAAACCAAAAGCAGCCTCAAGGATACTATAGCAATAGATCAATCAATCAATCAAAGCTTTATTTATAAAGCGCCTTCCGCAACCCTGTCAGGAAGCCCAAGGGGCTGAACATGGTTCAGTAGAAGTACAAATATAGTGAATAAATAAAAAATAAAAGCAATTCAGAAATAAAAGCAATTCAAATTACAAAATACAAATTACAAAAAAAGGTGAAAAATTCTAGTACAGGACAGATGGGTAAAACAAGGGATAGAGTGAACCAATGAAAACTGAAAGAAATTCAATGTAAAGAGGGCCGAATCAAACATGTTCAGGAAACGCCAAGCGGAGAAGGTGTGTTTTTAGGCGACACATAAAGGCTGGCAGAGACGGGGACAGCCTAACTGAGGGTGGCAACTGGTTCCAGAGAGACGGTGCTAGGACTGAGAAAGCCCGGTCCCCGCGAGTTCGACACCTAGAACGAGGGACAGCGAGCAGGCCTTGTTCAGAGGAGCTCAGAGCGCGTGATGGGGAATGTTTGTTCAGGAGTGTGGCTAGATAGGGGGGAGCACCACCCTGGAAGAAATTGTAAACAAAGACGAGAATTTTGAATTGTGCACGATAGCAAACCGGAAGCCAGTGCAGGGAGGTCAGAACCGGACTGATGTGGTCCTGTTTCCTGGTCCCAGTCAGGAACCTTGCTGCGCCGTTCTGCACAACCTGTAGGCGACACAGTGATGACTGACACAACCCTGCATATAGAGAGTTGCAGTAATCAAGCCTAGAAATAACAAAGGCATGCAGTACCCGCTCCAGGTGGGCTCTCGACAGCATAGGCTTGATATTTGCAAGGCGTCTCAGGTGAAAGAAACTGGACCGGATCACTGAGTTGATGTGAGCCTCAAATTTAAGTCCAGCATCAATTTTCACTCCCAAACTGGTAGCAACTGGTTTTGAGTAGGGAGAAAGAGGGCCAAGATCAACATAATGACCCACATTCCTGCTGTTGGGGTGAAAAAACAATGAGCTCTCTCTTTCTCTCATTCAGATGCAGATAGTTGGCCATTAGCCAAGACTTCACCTCGTTAACACAGGACACAAAGGACTGGATAGAGTGACCTTTCTCTTGACACAACGGAGAGTAAATCTGGCAGTCATCAGCATAGAGATGGATAGATGAGAGTTAATCACAATACGTGATCCAAGTGATGTCTGCATTCCTGTTGTTTTCAGTGAGATTGTTCACATCATTTACAAGATATGACCAAAATCTTTCCCCTCAGTCCACAAGAGGAGGTTTAAATTCTGAAAAGTGATGAAATACCCAACCAGGCCACGAGGAGGCGATTGCCTGATTGGGTACAAAGAAAGAAATTGTGATTCTGTTTCATGTGACATCATTTGTTTCCTTTTGGTGTCTGAACGTTTAGTCACAGGACTCTAAGGTTTAACGAAAACAGCATCAGGACATGTGTAAGGGGTTAATTTACATCTAAATAATGACCCATAAGACATGAGATTCCATAAAGAATATGTAATCAATCTTGTGGATCTTTGTGTACTTTTAACCAGAAGATTGGAACTTTTTATTGCAGGGATTATGTAACACTTCGTATTAACTGAGAGACAAGAGAAGAGAGAGTCACCCTTAACCCCCAGAGACCCACGGTTGTAATATTACAACATCAGATTTAAGTCTACAAAAATAAACCTTCCCCATTTTTTTTTCTTTTTAAAACCACATTTACATTGCTAATAGGTCCTATTGTTCAGTTCTGCAACACTATTGGCTGTTAAAATGTGTAAATAGGCCCGTTTATCTGGCCTCCTAGAACAACGTGTGAAAGGTTAAAAAAAGATTTTGCAGTTGTTTTCAAAATTTGGGTCTCTGGGGGTTAAAACGTTTAAGAAGATTTATTTCTAAACAATTTTAAACAATTTAACTCTAAATTCTAAATGATGAATGGATCTGGTGTGAATGAGTCGTGAGATGAATGGTGTATGTGTGAGTGATGTTTTAATCAGAACTCTCATATCCGGAGAAGCAAGTCTGAATGATGTTGTGATGTTTTGCTTTAAGCTATGATCAGAGTTTCATAAACACATGAGACGCCATATTGTCGCTCCACACATACCCTTCAGGATGAGACCTCCGTACAGAGCCAGACTGCCAGGTCCTCGAACCCCCCTTACGGTACCGGAGCCGATGAAACAGCGTCAGCAGTATGACAGACTAGTCTTTGGATTGTCTCCAGGTAAAAAGCGACAGTTGGTTGACAGCGTCAGATGGACCCCCTTTGGGTCAGTGAGTTAAGCTTTTATTCTGAAAGGAACCGTTGCTTGGTTGGTGAAATGCAACAAAATTTATCCGGCTTGTTGGTTCTTTGCTTAAAAGGAAGTCCGGTTGGCCGGTCTGATACTTTTCTTAGAATGTGGTGAACTGCTTAAGATGGCGTAGGGACTGGTTTTATTAATCTGGATGTTTTGATTTATGGTCGAATCAAAGTTGGCAGATTTATAAACACCACAGAGACTATGCCACACTTCAGAAAGGAAGGTTCTGATTGGATGAGTCAAAGCAATGTGTCATGCGTTTACATTACGTGTCGTCAGGGTGTCTAGTGCAGCTAGATTAAAGTCATATTACTCATTAAAACACTAATCATAACATTGTCATTTCACAGATTGGTCAACATTATATTATTGACTAACACTTTGTTTGATTAGCTTTATTAAAAATAGAGTTCTTTGATTTATTAAAAGGAAAGAGTCTTTTGTCTTCATTCTTCCCTTGAGCTGGAAAGAAAGCAGTTTAGAAGCAAATGCATGACCTCGAGGCAGTCTCATGGAGATTAGTTCTGTGTCAGAGGCATCTGTGTGGAGAAGGTAAATAACCTTCGGTGGAATAGCACCTTCGTCACGTTACACATGTGTGGAGAAACTAGTAAAAAAATGTGCCTCTGTTGTCATTTTCAGCTGCTACTTGAAGTATTTCTTCATCAAATTTCTTTCAGGCCAGAGTTTTAAACTAAGAAAATTTTATGTGAAGAAATGAGGGAGTTGTAGTTGTTTTGATACAGTGTTGAAAGAAGACTGCATCATCTTGATTAACAAGATCTATGAGTTGTGAATGACTATCACTCAAGTTTATGTTGCAGTAAATGCGACCTGCAAACACTAGGTTTTGATATATGATTTAAAATGAAACTATTATTGTGCTTTAAAGGGATACTAAGCAGTTTTGGCTTGCTTTTAGCACCGCTAGTGTTCCGATAGTGAAACCAAAAGTGAAATGTATCTCCTCACTGTGCCATCATGTTTTTTAACACCTTAATCTAACAGCTGAAATGTTTACCCAGCCTTCCTTAGTGTCTACTGGAGTTATTCATAACTACATCAAACAAATCAGCTGTGTTCATGATCTAAATGTGCAGGACATGTGCTGGAAGCAGACTTGAGCGCCAGGCGTGTCATCTCCACTTTTACAGGTGGTGCCCGCTACTCAGAAGTTACAAGTGCAGTATTCTGGCCAAAGTGGGAGGTGGGGTCTGAGGTCATTTAATCAACCCTGCAAAGGTCATTTTAGCACATACTGGCTCAAGAAAATGATTTAAAAATCTGAGAAAGTTGCATTATGTGCCTTAAATGATATTACCATCAACCTTATTTGTAAAATAATTTTGCAGGTGCTAGCTTAGCCACAAAAAACAGCTAAAGTTCAAAAGCAAAAAGGGCAGCAGCAATGTTAAGTATAGAAAAGGAAACTTTATTATAATTTCCTGCTAAATGAAAGATAAACAAACGATAGAGTGGACAGTGAAGCAGTGGTAAAATGCTGCTGGGGTTGTTTTCCACAAAGGCTGCAGGAAATGGAGCAGAAACTACGAATAAGGACCAGCTTCACCCTGAATCCTGACCGTTATTGTTGGTTCTAAAAATCTCTGACAACCAACCTGACCCAATCTGATAATCCTGCTTTAATCTACCCATCAGTGACCTTACAGAGAGGTCACCAGGTGCAACATCAAGACCTTTATTAGTCTAAAAGGTCTTCATCACTTTATTTGAACCATTCAGCTTCTGTTTTCAGCTCTAGTGAGAAGAGCTAATTTAAGGACATGATTCATACGTTCACCTGCTAATCACCCATCACACAGCCGATGCGCAGAGTCTCCATTGGGCCTCTGCTTGTTTTGCTGTTTTTCTGCCTCTTTAATAAAGTTTTTTCTCTCCACACATTTAAATTGGATCTCAGTAAACCCCATGACGCTTGAAGCTGTTGTATAATCTGCTTTTTAATGTGCTGATTAGTGCCTTTTTTTAAAGGATATGCTGTAAAGTGAGTCCTAATACTCAGGAGGAAAGGGCCTCTCAATCAGACTTTGTTTAGAAAATCTCTCCAACAAGGATCAGCGCTGTGTGTTAAATCAGATGTGGCTTTTACTTTGGAAGAAGTGAGACTGCCATGTCTCTGAGATTATAAATGATTCACAGTCAGAAACAAGCTCGTTCGTTTGTGCAGATAATTGGATCGTGTTTGAACCGAGCCAGCTGACCTTGAGGAGGGCTGCTCAGGAGTCACTCCTCTGTGTGTGTGTGTGTGTGTGTGTGTGTGTGTGTGTGTGTGTGTGTGTGATTTTTGGATTGAACAGACAAAGGGTTTTGTTTGGTGCTGACTGAATTAACTCAAAGAAGCAAACAAGAAGCAGGTTCTGTCAGGACGACCTGATCCAAATTCTGAATATTTGTCTGAAAAATGACTATTTTTTTTCTTCTGAGAACAAAATGCATGATCGCCACACGGAGTTCTATAAAATGAGACCTTAGTCGACCAAACATTTTGCAAAAGCCATGAGTGGTTTTTGGTTTTCCTAAGCAGAAACTATTGTAGTTTCATCAACAGAAATTTTTTCTGCCTTTTGCATCTAAACTGTGCAAAACATACAAGTGTTTTTCTGTTATTAGAATATTTTTGCCTCAGACACAATATGATTGTAATTAAATTACATCTCTCTAATCAGAATTTCTCAGCCTCGGGGTTCAGAGCTTCTTCATTCACACTCATAAAGCTCCTCTGAGCCTCTTTATTTGTCTAAGTTACAGTTTTATTTGGCGTTTGTTTTCTCTGGGTGTTACATCTTGTTTTATTTCTCTTCTGATTGTCTCAGTTTCTTGACTTTATGGTTCTTACATTTACGAAGGATTTTCTGCAGTGGCACAAAACAGAAAACATGAAGGTCAACTGCTTGATTGGACATTTGTGGGTGTTCCATGCCCGTGAAAGCTAACGTAGCCTGCTGAGGACTCACAGGTCTTGTAAACTAATTTCAAACTCATACTCAGGCTCAGTCATCCGTCTCATCCTTTAGAGCCGCAAAAGGGTTTGTACAGCATTTTCTCTCGGAGGGAACCAAACTCTCGCAGACATGAAAAGAGACTTTGATGTGGAAAATCACAAGGGTTCCCATAAAAGATGAAGGAAAGGTGGAAAAAGGCTTTAAAGGAACCAACTGAGAACAGAAGAGCCCTTCTCCCCTTCAAAAAGCAATAAAACCCCATGCAACAGGGATGTTTGTCCACCGTTTATAAACAGGGAGATGGTCAGCTTCTCGAAAGTAGAGCACTGATTGCACCAGAGTAATACTCCCTCCTTAACAATGGTGTGTAGTGAACATTTGTTGTTTGGCTGAAAGCTGATTATTAATGAAATATTCTGACAAGCAGACAAGTTGGATGATATTTTCAGGCTTTGTTATTTTTCTTCATAATGAGATTTTGGCAAAGACAATTTGCTTTAGTGAAACACAGCTTTGATTTTGTTGTTGCTGCATAATAAAATCACAGTTTGTGAACTTTAAAATCTCTAGTGGAACTCTTGTCTTTTGGTGCCATCTTAAAAAAACTCAAAGCATGTTTGTAAATGATCCATGTCAATAAGTGTGATGTTTAGCGCTCCAAGGTGTAATGGACGCATCACATGAACTGCAGCATTTTAGATGACCTGTTTAAAAGGTCAAGTTTACGAAGAGAACATGTTTTAGTTGTTATTTTTTATTTATGATCAGTCACTTAGAGCTTAACATGCAGGCTGAACTTTAAAATAGCCTTCTACCCCTATTTCCTTTATTAGCTATAGATAGAAAGTAGATGAGGAATGCTTGAGATGGAGTACGCCACACAGATCTACGTCACACTGAAAATTTGCATTGATAAGCTCACCCATCTTGGCTCATGACCGGGGAAGGCTGTTATTGATATAGCATCCACGAGAGAGCAGAGCACGTTTTGGCTAGAAGCTAACTGTTAGCATTAATAACTCCACCATACAGCAGAACTCCACCACTCCAAACTTCTACTTCCTGAAAAAGAAGTGAGAGAGCTTTACTTCCACAGAAAATGACTCACAAGGCACTCATTCATAGAGACCGCAGCAAATGCTTTGGAGAAAAACAACAAATAAATGAAACTATAAGACTCTAACACAGGCATACAATTAAAAATGATTTAAATATCCCTTTCAAACCTATTTTGGTCCTAAACACACAATAGTTGTGTTTCCACTTTAGGAGTTCTGTAAAATTTCTCAGAGGGAGGAGATGGCCCTAAAAAGTGTCCTGTCGTGCCGGCCCAGTGAAATAGAGATGTGCCGTGAAGGTCTGGTAAAATCTGAATTTCAGTAAATAACTGCCCTCTCCAAGTTTTGAAAAAATACACATGAGAGAGAAGAGTCTGCTAAAACAACTCTGGTCTTATTTCTCACTTTGGAGGTGTTAGGGATTTTATCAATATGTTTATCATTAAACCCATTTCCTGCAGCTAGAGAGAGGGACAAGAAGCAATAAGGCAGACATACAACCAAATAATGATTTGTGGCAAGTGTGCAGGGCAAATGCCCCGAACATCTGGTCACAGAGTTTATTTATACAAAGAGATAAGAAAGGAATGGGAGTGGATCATGTGCGAGAGAGAGAGTGAGTGTGTGTGTGTGTGAGAGAGCGTGAATGCTTTCAGGACATTCAGTTAATAGATTTGTTAATAGGACTAAAGTAATGAAATATAAAATTTCCATAATATAATCCCTCCTGTTTATCTGAATAGGATAACCAAACAAAAAGAAAACAACAACATGAAGAACAAATAAAATAATAAAACACGATAAGGCAAACACGACTGACAATAACATCAAACAGCAGTTTACAGAGATACAAGTGAGATAATGGGAATCAGTTAAATCAACACCAACCTAAACTTAAGAAAAGCCATTTCAGACATATTTAAGTGAATTTACTGTAATGCAACCGTTCTACAATTTATAGAAGTCCCTATAAAGAGATTGGGAAGGGTTAGCAAAACCATATAATATACAAAAAACATCAGTAGAGTTTATTGAAACATCAGGTGAATTTAATTTAAAGCTTCAAGTTGCAGACGAGTCTTCCTGTGAATGAGGAAAAATGAACGTGTAATATTAATTTATGCAGCTCTAACAATGGCAGGATATCGTTCTTCATCAAGGGCTTGTCCGTGGACTGGGAGTCTCGGTTAGAGAATAGTTTGGAAGGTCAGAATCCTCTTCAGTTGGTCAGGATGGTTTCAGTCTCACGTTGATGAGTTTCTTGAAGTCCAGGTCCGGAGTGCAACAATGGAGTTTGGGATGTGGGAGCGCACAGTTCAACTTCTCAATAGGAAGACGTCAGAGTCCTTCCATGGCGTGTTGAGGCGGTTGTCCAATTGTCAGGGAGCTGATCTTGTCCCCGAAAAGTCCTTCTGATTCTTTGACCGTGAAACCATATTGGAGATTGGATGCAGGTGATTGAAGTAGTTGATCCTTTTCCAGCATCTCTTCTTCGCTGTGTCCTGTTGTAGTTGCGTCCAGGGAGTCTTCAGCCGAGGTGGACGCAGGTCACGTTGTCATGTAGATGTGTGGTCAGGAAGGAGCCCCAGTCCGTCGTTCCAATTCCAGTTCTAGTACCCCCTCAGATGCTGCTGTCCCAGTCGTTCCATCAGGTGCTGAGAGGCGGCCCAAATGCAGGCCATGAACGTGTACCAACATCAGCAATGCGGTGAAACCAGCAAGCTTGAAGCAGATCTTTATCTTTATCTTCATCTTCACCGGCGTTGAGACGTGGACCATAGAGGTAACCCACCCCTCTGCAGCTGGACTTCGTTGCCGCTCTAATAGCAGTCAGCTAACGTTGATAAGCTTGCAGTGGGATAGATGAATCCAAAATGGCCTCTCAGCAATCTTCACAGCAGTGGGAGTGATGAGGAGTACTTCGAATGGATCTTCTCTGGCTGCTGCAACTGTCTTGCTTCAGCACCTTCATTATCAGCCATCCCTCCGCTTGAGCCATGAGACAACTCATGGCTCACCAGAAACAAAACATAAACAAAACAGGTCAGACACCGGCAAGCATTGTGCCAACCCGATGCAAAAGTTGGACCTCACATAACATGTTTTCTCTAAAAGCTAAAAATACCCACCCCAAGGAACTTGCAATTGCCAGTTTACAACAGCAGGGGGCAGAGCCGTGCAGCACAGTGTGCATAAAACAACAAAACAAAACAAGAAAAAACTAACAAAAAAATGCCATAATCAGTGTAATTGAAAATAAACACAAATGTGATTTACATCACCTAGAAGTAACAGGAGAAATTGCAGTAGAAGAGCTGTTGCAGAAGATTGTAATCTAATGAAATCAAAAAGGATCAACCCAAGGTAAGGTTGCGTCAGAGTACATCAACAATGTACAATGTAACTCAAATGATGTGTAAAATTTGTCAACAGGAGATAAATACTGCTAAATTCAAACTCCGCAAGTTAAATTGGATAGCAGATATATTTAAGGAAAATAAAACTCATTTGTCACATAGAGACAGTGGACGTTCAAAAAAATAAAAATAAACAACTGATGGTGTTCCTGGATACACACAACCCTAAAAGTGTTTGAAAAGATGATAATCGTTTCCGGAAAGGAAAAGACGATCTAATTTGTAATTTGTAAAAATGTAATTTGTCTAAAATGGTTATACTACGGGAAACAAGCTATGCTGAGGAAGGGCCCTAATGAGATTAAAGGTCAAGCAGAGGAATACAACCTAAGTGTGATAATGAACAACGAAAGTATTTATATTCACAAAACAACAAGAAATAAACCAAATAAAAGAACAACATAACAGGAGGCCTTTCTCTTCTTATCATAGACTTCAAAGACACTTTTTCTCTTGCGACTCTCAGCCATTTTCAAAAGAACCCGGTGAGAACAGCGAGGAGTGAAGGCGTATCGCTCTGCAAAATGCGCAGAAAGTGAAAACTAACCCATTTTGTATTTATTTCCCATCTTTTGTTAGCTGAGAGAGACAGCACTAGCTCGGGAGGTAGAGCTGGTTGTCCAGTAATCATAAGGCTGCAGGTTCAATCCCAGTTTTACCAGAGAAAGCTGCTGTTGTGTGAACAAGACACTAAACCCACCTTGCCTGCAGGTGGCGGTCAGAAGGACCGGTGGCGCCTGTGTATGGCAGGCCTCGCCTCTGTCAGTGCACCTCAGGGCTAGGGCTGTCGCGGTTGAGGAATTCCCCCTGCGGTGAAACAGGGTGGCTTAA